CATGCGTTAAAGTTTGCCAAGCCAAACACACGTTGCGCCATCAAATCAAATGTATGAAATAAAAAACTAAAATACATAGTCATCAGCATGGTTATGATGATGATGATGATGATTGGTGAATGTTGAGCAGGCGTAAAACTTTTTTCCTTTTTTGCATTTGAAGCGGAAATGATTTCATCAAAAATTCATATTAACTAATTGGATTTGATGCCGATCGTGCTTTTTCTTTTAGCATTTGGGCGCTGCGGATATTGCCAGGAACTGGCCTCACACGCACACACACACACACGCATATATATATAAATATATACTTAATATATATTGCATCCGTTGATTCTGGGCATAACTTAATAACCATGTTTATTTTAAATTAAAAATGTATTTACATACGCTCAAATGCCAACTAAACGTGGGACACTGAAGACCATCTACCAAGCGACAATGTATATTGGAATTTGTATGCCTGCGACTATGTGTGTGTGTGTGTGGGTGTTGCCACAAGCTACCAAGTTCCATTTTAGGCTGCAGCCTCTCACCTGAAAAAATACGAGAAAAATACCACAATTTATTGCCTTTGTTGTATGCATAAAAAAAAACAGTTTTTGTTGTTGTTGTTGTACAACATTTGTATTACGCTGACCCGGCCCGCACTTCTAACAAAATGTACAATTTATGCGAGCTATGGGACTGAATGTGTGCCACACACACAAACACACACACACACACACAAGCTCAATGGCTCAATTAATTGGCAATGGCAGAAACTAACTAATGAATTTATTGTATCCATTTTGCTTTTTTTGTATTCATATTTTATTTATCTTCTGTTTTTTTTTTTTCTTGTATAACGTATTTTTGAACATTTAAATATATTTGCATATAACAACTGTTTTAATTAAAATGTATTCAAACTAGTTTTATCTACGTGAACAAACTGCGGCTTGATTTTGCTATTATTTTGCTTCGTATAAGCTTTTTTCCTTAGATTTTTGCAAATCGTATCTAATCCTCAAGTTTATTTTCTTTTTTATTTGCAATCCATTTTTGTTGGACTTTCAATTATTTATATATATTTTTATTTTTAAATTTACATTTGCTGCAAAATTCTATTTGCGCCAGATTTTAATTTGCGATGAGTTTCGGTTTCACATCAAATAGTCTTAATTCTGTTTGAAGCACTTTTAATAAAATTAATAAAATATCAGAAACATCTGGGCTTTAGTCTTTTTCCAACTCAATATTATTTAAGATTCTGTAGTAGCAACATCGATTTAAGTAATAGATGCGCTCAAATAAGCAAAGAAGCAAATAACTTAAGGACTTTGTAGACAACAAAAAAAAAACACGAAAATGTGTCGGATGAAATGAAGGCAGTAAATAAAACACTTATACACATGTGTATAAGTACATCCTGTTCAAGACTATCGTGTATGTGGAAAGATGTGGAGAGGATCCACACTTCACAGCTGCTGCCGAGCAGCACTGGCAACATTTTTGGTATGCTTCGCGCGTTCTGGCTGAGAACGCCCGGCGGAAGCAGGCAGCTAGCAAAAAGAAAGCGTAGCAAACATTGCAAAATATTAAAAGTCTTGCTGCCAAAGGCAGCACAAAATAGAACCAGTAAACGCGGCCAAGTGAAGGCAATAACAACGATAACAACAACAACGTTGGCCAGCAAAATAATACGAAGAACTGTCGACAGCGTCTGGGAGGCGGCAGCAACTGGCAGCGCAGCCAACTCGGCACGCGGCAGCAGGATGTGCCGCAGACAGTGGCAACAAAAAAACAAAAAAAAAAAAACAAAAAACAAACGGGGACTGCAAAATAGCATGGAAAATTAATAATCGCGCAATTTTTGCACCAGTAAACAATGGAAAAGTCTTGGCTCGTTACTTTCCTCATTATTCTGCATTTTCCAAGAAGCAGCAGCAACAGCAGCAGCTCCTGCTGTGAATTTTGCGTTTTCCACTTTGTAAGCTGTATTTGCAGCTCGACAACTTGCTAAAGGAACAATGGCGACTATTAGAAAATGGACTGTCTAACAAGCAAAGAACGAGGCACATCAACAACAACCAGAACAACAACAAAAATCTCAGCAAATAATTAAAATTGCAATTCAATTCAATTTCTTTTGCAATTTGTAATCGCTTTGTCTGTCACTGCATTGTTTCGAGTCGAGGACAAGTGCACAACAAATGTAAATCGGTTAAAAAGACCATTGAAATATATCCGATTATTGCTCACAGCAAATAAAATATGTCATTTGATTTGCCTATTTGTATTTATTTTGTTAGAGAATTGAATTCGAAATTTAATTGGATATTTATTTGTAATTTTATATCATTCATTGGATATTTAAAAGTCTGAAAACTAATTTATATTTAAATATTTAAATTAAGAAAAAAAAAGTTTAAAAAAATAAAAGCGGAAAATTAAATTGAAATTAAAAAATGTATTTATTTAAAAAATTATTAATATGAACTCGTATATTGCCTCGTCTAGAGATACTGTTCAAGAATATATATACTTTATGAAGTCTCATTCATTAGGTTACACACTTCAAGAGAAAATTATCATACCCTTTCAAAGTATATAATAATATATGCATATATTGGAATTGAAAATTTGTCTATATTTTTTTTGAAATGGAAAACCAATTCATTTGAACAATTTATTTCCAAATTGAAGTGAAGCGTGCACCATATATAAAAAACAAACCTCAACTGTATTTGCAGCTGTTCTGAGCGATAAAGTATGCATTGAATAAATGAAAGAAGATAGTTATTTTATGTAGCATGGCAACAAATAATTGAATCAACTGCGCACAATTGTTGCAACCAACCAAATGGAGCCACTGATATTGACGGGCAGTGGGCGGTGGAAGTATGCAGGTACAAGTTCTGGGATAAAAAATTGCAAAAAGTGTTGCAATGTAAATGACACACTTGCAGCCACAATGGTCATGCTGTTGGCCAACAGCTGACGACCCATTTGGCACTAGCCAAAAGTTGGCGACACAAAAACCAAATCAAATTATATGGCGCCAAAAAAAAAAAAAAAATGACGCGACCAGTAAAATTGTGAAGTGTATGTCTGACAACAAGGACAACAAGGAGAACAGCAACAATAACCACTACACTACAATGGCAACAACAACGACAACTACATTATTAATGCACAATGAACTTGAAGCCGAGTCGGGTGACAAACCAGAAAACACGACCAATTTCCAAAATGTGCGCGAGTAAATTGCATTAACTTGGCCCGCAGGCAAAGGCCAAAAAAAAAAAAAAAAAAAAAAGAAAGAGAAACAAACTGCACAGCATATAAAATTCGTAATAAAGTAAAATGTGAATAAAGCACGCATAAAGCCGTAATGGAAACAGGCACTTTTGCCTGCCATTTCATTTAGCATTCAAAATCATTTTCTCGTATTTTTATTTTTAGTTTTCCTCTTCGTCGTCATTGTTGGATTAAGAACTTTTTTGTTTTCTTTATTTTGCATTTTTCATGGCATATTCACCTTTTGAAGTTGTGCTTCAAAATGCCTTAATGACTTTTTCATAGCTGTTAAATAAACAATTGGGGGCGAAAAGTTTAACAGTTACCAGTTTGAAGGCACCTGCTCTCAGTGCCCCTTTGCCGCTTCGCCGTTCCCATTTGCCTGCTTCCTCTGCTCATTCACTTGTTCTGCATTTTATTTTTATGCTCGTGGGATTTTCAGTTACTTTTTGAGGGGCGTGGCCTTGGGGTGGAGTGTGTGGGTGTTGCGGAAGGTAGGGATTTGAAGAGCGCTCAACAAATACGTTTGTTGCGTGCATAAAAATAATCAAATTTTGTCATTTAATTTGGGGCCAACTTGGTAAAACGAAAGTTAAACGTTGTTAGTGTGAAGACCTTCGTCAGGTCGAGGCCGAAAACAGTTCAATATTTGTGGCTCCAATTTGACGAAAGGTTAATAAACTAAAACAAACTGTGAATCATATTCAAAAGGTTAAAAGCCACTTGGGAAGTATTGCGTATTGTATTTCAATTATTTATAATTATAAGTAAACATTGATTGACTTATGCGCAGTAGAATAATGTATATATAAAGTGTGGGTTACTCCTTGTACAGATAGATAGTTCTTATTCTTCTATAGTCCTTGGTGCAACTTATATATTATAAGTGCCTTATATAAATTTATCACTGCAGCGCAGACTGCGCTAGAAAACATTTATTTTATTTACTATTATTAAATCGGATATCCTTAGCTCTATTTATACAAGGGCTAAACTAGGTCAATTATTTCTCAAATCATTTTGAATGATATTTTGATTGAATGTTCCATTCTTAAACACCTTTCTAAAATATCAAATAATTTTCAGCATAATCAAAACAAAACAAAATTAAATAATATAATAAAGTTTATAACAATTTTTAAGCCAAAAATATATTATAATAATATATATAATCGAAATAATTTATAAACATAAATAACGAATTAAACTCATGATTTTCTATGGTTATTTTCCCACACTCATTAAAATAGTATCTCATTTCAATAAATAACTAATTATTTTAATTTTTAAATTTGGTTTTTTTTTAACACTATTAAGCACTATTGCATTTTTTAATTCAAACTGTATTTGAACACAACTAAATACATCGAATGCGATTTCCTTGATTTGATGTTCGCCAATAAAACAAATAATATTGTATCGACTCAAAATATATATTTATAGTTTTTAAAAATTCAATATTTTAGATTTGGACCACTGTTCAATTACTGAACACGCAAACGAAATGTCTGCTTTATTTACGTCTCACGTATTCACATGCTTAATATTTAATGTGCGAGTGAGTAAGTGTGTTAGTGTGTGAGTGTGTCAGTGTGTGAGTGTGTGAGTGTGTTGATGTCACAAAATATATCTCATTCGCATACATGTATATAAGTATGTATATGTATATGTGTATGTGTATGCGTATAGAGTAATCCGTGTTGACGCTGGCTGCTCACCTTTAATTTTATTCAATAAATACGCTGCGTGTGTGGAGCAAGTAGAACAAAGAGATATCCAAAGCACGTGACAGATTTTCTTGGATTACATACGCTGACAAACACACACACGCGCAAAAACACGAGCGTGCTTATGCACACAGACACGCACACACGCACGCATACATCTATATATATAAACTGATTGCGACTTTGTTGCTGTTGTTGTTTTGTTGCTGTTGTTGTTATTGTTGAAAATCACATGGCGCGGCAAAAAATTGAAATTGCCTCAACTGACGCCTGCCTTGCCTGCCCTTCTGTCACACGTCAGACTGTCAGACTGTCAGCCTGTATTCATTTGTGGCACTAAATATTTTAGGCATTCACTTGGGCTCATTCGGTTAGCGGCAAGTGCAGCATCTTAATCACTGATTAAATTGACGCAGACGCCACTCACTTAAAACGCAGCGACGGCAAACGCACGAAGCACAAAACAACAACGAAGAATTGCAAAATTAAGGAGCGCGCGCGCTCTGCACAACTGTAGCCAACGACAACGGCATGCGAAGTGGCCACAATTCGATAACGAGCACGTCAAACAGCCACCGTCATTGCCGAAGCAGCAGCTGTCAACCGAGAGAAGCCGAACAATCCTCGATACTCGAAGTAGAGCCAAGCGCGTGAAGAGAGAGCGAGCTCGGTTTATAGCATCAAAGTGTTGCATACTTAAGAGAGCGCGCCGGCATTTTGGGTGTGTTGTACGCGGGCTTTTGGGACGCAGCGCAGTCGCTGTGACACCTACGACAGCAATTCACCAACACAGCGCTTAAGAGAGAGCCAGAGAGTTATGGCTGGCTTCCAATGCCACAGTTAGCAGTTGACAAGCTGTATGCTTATTTGCATGGTCGTGTCCCAAAATATGATTGTCCCAAGCGAACAGCTGTTGAGCGCAGAAATGAAGCCAATGGAGCAACGGGACTAACTGTTAATATGCACACAGCCTGTCAGCCACAGCAACAGCCACTGCCACCGCTTCGTCCTTGTCGTCGTGACGCACTCGTTGCGGCATGTCTTAGGTCAGAAACGACGACTGTGGCAATTGCTCGCCGGCAAAAGCCAGAATTTTTAATTATGATAAATGCCCATTCATAAAAACCAAACGCCATTTTGCAGTTGCGTGTTTATGCATATCTCTTCTTCTTCCTCTGCCTGTGCTTCTATTTGTGCTCCTGTCTCTTCTTCCTCCTTTTTTATTTTGAGATATGCTGCATATTTACGCTGTCCGCTCTCAAATTTGTTTCATCTTTCTTTTCTACTTTTTTACACATGAAAATATGTCTTTGGCAAGAAGAAGCATTCTCAATTGGTTCTCTTAATTCTTACAAACGACAACTTCACTAACCCAGCAGCAAAACTAGTGAATGATTACTCATTACCGAATGCATTCTGTATGCATTGAATGTAATTGATTACCGAGTAATGGCCTTGTTTGCAGAGTTGTATGCGGGGGCTTCTAAGCCAAGCCCAAACTTTATTTTTAAAATTGCTACAGAGTAAGCTTTCTATATTTTGAGTATACATGAATATATTTTGAATATATATATGCTACACACTTTCCATATTTGTGGGAGTACTTGAATTAAATTACAATAGACTATCTTTGTATATGGAGACGTAAAATATTCCGCCTACGATCCCTCACACAAAGTATGCGAGCCTTTAAAGCACTTAAAAAGCTTTCGGCAACGCATACTTTCCATATACTGGAAGCTAAGTCGCCTACGAAGCATACCTTCAAATCGAATTCGTAATGGGGTCTTTTTACTGCTGGGTGGTTTTCAATTATCAAGAAAAAAGAGCAGCGAAGAGCAGAGAAACATAACGGAAAAACTGTTTTATATTTGAAGCAAAAGTGAAATACCAAAGAAAAAGGCACTTTTGTAAGCGCTAAGTGTATTAATTGTGCTATATAACTGTATAAGTGGCAACAAAAGAGTGTTTATATGTGAGTATGTGTGTGTGTGTGTTGGCACTGGGTAAAGGATATATGATAGTCTGTTACTCTCAACTAGATCACTTTTTCTTGTTAGTCTCCTTTCTCTTCCCTTATTTTTTGTTATTTTTCTTCTTTTTTTTTTTTGTTTTCTGCACTTGACAGCCAAGATTTATGCGGCCTGCAGTTCATCTCTCGTATGGAGTTGCAGGATGCTGGAATTCCACTGGCTTGTGTCCTGTGTCCTGTGCCGTGTGCCAGGTGTTGATGTGGCAGGTGTGCTTCAATCACCATCAGCGTCACTTAATAAAATCACAGCACGACATGTGATGAATTGTTGCCATTTTTGTAGCTGACGTCAACGCTTTTAAGTGCAAAACATTTAACAATCGCCCGTCGCCAATTAAACCCAAGAACTCGGCACCTAACCAATTGATAGGTCATAAAAATAATAAAACACCCTTTGTCCTTAACTGCCCAATCGAATAATTAATTGGCTAATCAAGTGTTAATTACAAGTGCGAATCAATTGGCCAATCTGTAAATGTTCCCCAATTGCAGGTGCGAGCAGTGATTGCTTTTTTAACAAATAAATAAATAAATAATATTTTATATATATTTTGACTTAATTTATTTTTTATGTCGATGTGAAATAATATAAAGAAAAAAACTAAAATAATTCGCTTAGTCAACGATATAAATCAGTAAATTTATAGTTTGAAATCGATCTTCTATTTTTATCCCTTGCAGATTATTTGTACCTAAATATAAAAACAAGAACCCCTGCTATCGGATTACTGTAAATATATTGTCACCAAATTTATTTATTATGTTGGTCGGAAATAATAAATAAATAATTAAAAATCCGCTTGCAAATTATTTGACATTAGCTTTAAGAGCTTTACCCCGACCCAATATTGCAGCCTGTGTTATGAGGCATGCCTCCAATTAGTTTCCTCTCAGCAATGCTACTCGCATTTCAAAACTATGCAATTACTCAGCTGAGGCATTCTTCACAAGAATGGAGAGAAAAAGAAGCAGAAGATAAAGATTGCTGCATTATGGGTAAGCGAAGCAAAAGTTCTTCAAATGCAAGTCGGACAAAAAACCAAATTGACCAAAGTTAATTTAACCAGTGCAAACACAACGAAGCAGCACATTTTCTGTTGAGGGAGGGGAGCGGGTAGGGAGGGGGGTGTTAAGGCATAGAGGAAATCAATTGATGCACCAACAAACGCTTCAATCAATTTTACTTTAGCAAACACACTGAGTGCAAAATAAATCACATCTCGCAAAGATGCTGCTGCACTCGTATAGAGACAGTGAGAAAGAGAGAGGGGAGTTGAGTGGAGGGGGGAGTGGTCGGGTAACCTACAACGCATACTTGTGTTTATCTTATTTATGCAAAGCTGTGGCAAACAGCAACAGCACCAGGCAATGCAGCAACAACGACAGGCAAAAATAAAATGCACATAGAGCTCGTAAAGCTGCTAAAAAATGAATGAATTCAATGAAATGCGGGTAAATGTGGCCCGATTTGCAAGCAGTTCGCAGCTCGCAGCTCGCAACTCGCAGGAGCAGCAGCAGCAACAGCAGAAGCTGTAGCAGGATGTGTGTAAGGTCATTCGTAAGGAAGTAGAATTCTCAGGAATTGCCACATCAAACATCTCAAACGAAATGAATAATTTATAGACGCATTTGCAGAGCGCCGCGCAGCAGGCTTTTGGGAATAAAAAAGAGTTAGGGAAACAGAGAGTGTGAGAGAGAGTGAGGGAGATAGAGAGTGGGAGGGAGAGGGTGAGGTTGAGGGGGTTGACACATGTCGCGTAAGCCGACTGCAGTCAGTGGCTCTGCATTGAATCGACGAAGAAGACCAATAACCCACACACAAACACACTCACACACACACACACACATACACTCAAGATGTGCAGGCATGCATGAATGAAAAAGGACTCAACTAGCTGTGTATGTGTGTGTGTGTGTTGACAAAATAAAATAGCAAAATGCACGGTTGCCTTCAATTTATTTGTATATTTATTTTATACAGCATCCTTGCACCACAAGGTATGCAGTGTAATGTCACTCAAGATGGGTAATTCAAACACACAAACACAAGCACACACACACACAGATACACACACACACACACACACACATAAACACACACTGATATGCAAAAGTAAGTAGAACGAAAGGTAAACCCACACAGGACTCATAATGAATATTTTCATATACTAAAAGCAGATAGAGAAAACATAAACAACCAGAAAACAAAAGTGTCTAGACATATCCATGGAAACAGTAAATGCTGAAACTAGATTTCATTTGGCACGCAAATTTAATAGAAACAAGTAAAAGATTACTTTCAAAAATTATGAACAACTGTTGTGATTTTTCTTTAATGTTTTCAGCAAAGAAAGCAACGAAAATTTCATTAAATGTGGTTTCACTTTTGGTTGGAAAATTATTATAATTTTCATATTAACGTAGAAATTAATTAATTTTTATTAAAGGTGATTTGACTAATTCACTAAATTGGATTTTAAGGCACACTTCTTACTCATTCGACGCGTTATATTAATTAATATTTGAGTTGTTTTAAAAGGAACTTAGAAAAAAAAACTTTGAATTTTTAATTGAAAAGTTGATTACATTTCTGATGATGGCAAATATGAGATCTCTTTCTGGTTGAAACTAGACTGTTCAGACTAGTTTCGCAAACTGTAGCAAAACTTACCGCATATTGCCCCAGAGAATGCATACTTTTCCAAACTAAACTTTCCCTTTCATTTTCCTCTGACATTTCAAAAGTTGGCCTTGACTTTTAATGGCACACCAAATTTTTGAAATGTTGTCAATTAAAAACGCCCATCAATCGAAACTGTTGTTAAACAATGTTTGAGTTGGCTTTCTTCAAAGTCGTATTGCTGTTTTGAAATTGGTTAAATGTGACTTTAGCAATCTATTTATCACATTTTCGTACATCAACTGTTTATCTCAGGCAATTCCCTATATCCGGCAACAAATATGCCGTGCAAAATATTTGTGGCTCATCAAAAACAAACAAAAAAAGTTTAAAACGCTTCTTTTGCACAGTCAACGAGCTATTTGAAATACCAATGCGATTATCTCGATATCAAATTTGGTTGGAAAACTCCACTGCCACTGCCGATACACACACACACACACACCCACACACACACACACAGACGCACCCACATTGTCATAGTGTGGTTTTTGCGGTGCCGTCAAAGGAAAGTTTAAATAAATGACTGCAGGAAACTTTGCTAATCTACTTTAAAAATCCAACAGCCACCAACATTCAACATGAAATATGAAATGTAAAATCTCCAAATAGGAAAATGGAGAAAAACAAAAGCAACAAAAAAAAAAAAACAAAAATAATGCGGTCAGGGAAAAAGTGACAACAGTTGACTTTGACGCGGCGGTTAAACCGCAAAATTCGTCAATTTAAATGGAAAAAATCAACGCAAAGTTTTGTGTCAGTGTGAAAAATATTAATTTAACTTTTTGCGTTAACAGAGCAATGACATTTGCCCCCAAACCGCAGTATGCCCCATAATCTCCCGAATCACCCTGTAGCAAGCAGCACGCTGTTAGGCCTTGTTAGATTTTGTTTTGTTGTCTGCCGCCCACTTTTGTGTCGATTGTTGTTGTCCTTTTGGACGCCAAATGCTTGTTGTCTATTGGGCCATGTGGCAACTGAGGCGGCGGCATCTGCCGCGTTGTCTGTTGATGCCACAGCCCATACTGATGCCGATGCCGATGCTGATGCTGATGTTGTTGGCATCATTATCGTAAATTTTTATGCTAAATACATTTTGCTGTAAGTCCCGAAAAACAGCACACAAAAACAACAAACCGACAACCAACAAAAAAAAAAAAAAAGATTTCTTAGGCACTCCGATAACTACATACCCTTGTAGAGAGTCTAAATCAAATTAATTACGAAAAACTAATCGATTGCTCCTATTTGAACTAACTGAGTTCGAAATCGATTATTTATATAATTTGTAAAAATTAAGCAAGCTTTCAAAAGTGCCTAGTTTCCATATTAAAATACAAATCTAACAATTATATTTATTTTTTTTGAAGCCGCAAAATCTGAAGAAATAATACCTTTGCTAAAAAAAAAAAAGGGAAACTCAACTTACTCTTCAGAAAGTATATTTCTATAAAGGATGTTTGTGCATTTTAAACATCAGCTAAAAATAAAAATCTAGCAAGAACTAATAAGCCATAAGATCTGAAGAATGTTTGCGTGCTAATTTATTTTACCTAACTGGCTAATAATAATACTTAAGAGCGCCAATTTTCTAGACATTTATAACATAAACTTTCCATTACAATTTACTATAGCTGAAATTGGATATTAATATAAATATAAATATTGAAATATATTATTAAATATTAATACACAATGTTTATTGTCCGCTTGCGAAATCGGCGATGTATTTCGATTTCTATTTTTACGTCACATGAAGCTGGAAGACCCTCAGCAAGGGTATTCGAAATGGCTAACATTTGCAGCAGCTGGCGTCACGTGGATGCGACCGCTTCAAATGGTCAAGCACACCCACCAAACACCAACAACAACATAATCAAGGCGTTTCGTTATGTTTGGCTCCCCTACCATTTATGGCAAATGCAAATGAACTCGATGGTAGGTTTAGGTCCACTGTTGTCGCCTTATGGCACATTCACTTGCCATGACAAATTGAACAATTTGGTGCAGATTTCGCTTTAGGGCGTCGCCTCGGTAAAGAGTCTCTCGTTGCGTTGCAGGAACTCGGAAATGAACGTGCCCAGCCGCGGATTGTTGCCCAGCTCGGCGTGGTGGCCTGTGGAGGCACGCAGGCCCAGTCGCAGGCTCAGCCTGGCCATGTTCTCGACGAGAAATTCGTGCAACTCCTTCCCAAGCCGCTTGGTCTGATTGAGCAGCTGGACAGCATCGTGTTTGGGCTGGATGTACTCCAAGCGTGGCACAAACTTCACCAGCTCCAGCGATGCCTCCTCTCGGCTCCGCTTGATGTACGCATGGCAATCCTGCCACTCGTACTTGTCCTCCTGTAAATGGCGATAGCGCTGGCGGCACAGCGCCTGCTCGTGCTCCATGGTGCGCCTTACGGAGTCCAGCCGATCTAGGCGACGCTGCAGTACAACGGCTGCCTCCAATTCGCGGTCCAGAAGCATGCGCAAGTGTTTCAGGGATGCATCAGTAGCCGTGCAGCTGTGCTGCAGCGCACGGATCTGCAGGCTCAGCTTGTGATTGTTGCGCTGTAGCTCGAGAATCTCGGGATGGGTGTCAAAATTGTTCAGTTCCAGCTGCTTGTCCACACAGACATCCCCAATGGGGCAGTCGGGTACCTGCAGGCTTAGTCGCTTGCCGATGAGATCAACGAACGCCTTCTTCTTATCCAGCTCATCCTGTATATCTTCCAGCTGTAGATCATCCCCTTCAGTTAGGGGCTGCTCCAGACTCAGCTCCGACTCACCCCCCTCATCATCATCGCCGTCGTCTCCAAAAACACAGTCACACAGTAAAGTCTTTGCCGGTTGTGGTGACAGAATTTTCCTAAACGGATGAACCTCATCTACGGAAGTAGATGACTCAGGTTCACAGAGGGGTAAACCAGCTGCTCTGCAGACTTCATGTGTGGATGAACTTGCCATTAAATATATTTCAAATAGTAATTTTGATATGTATCGAAATGTTAAGAAATTAAACGCAATCACAAATTTATATATATAATTGTATTTGGTTGCAAAGTAAACTAAACTCAAAATCGGAATAATACTGAACAAATTGTGGTGCTGCTTGTGACAATAAAGAAAAAGGAGACTTACAACCTTGTTTATTTTATTTTATTAATCTAAACATATTGTATATATACAAATATATATATATATATATATATATATATAATTTGTCGTTTGATGAACCTGAAGAATCTTCTGGTTAAGTAAAACTCGAAGTAATAATTTGTATACTGCTTAAGACAATTAAGAAAAAAGACACCAAAAAAAATTAATGCAACATCGTATATTAAATATAATCGCTTATTTTATTAGAAACTATATTTGTAGATATTAAAAATATAAATAAATAAATAAATATTCGTGTGATTAACCTGAAGAATGGCTGGAAATCTTTTCAAAATGTGACTATTTTGTTTTGCTCCAATTTTATACTGGATTTTGGTCTTCCTCTGTATGAATTTCTTAGAAATTCAAAATATTCTACTCACTTAGAAGTAAAATTGTATCACATTAAATAGACAAAATTCAAAGATTTCCCTTGCAGTCCAAATTAGCATCAGTTATTCCTTTCAAGTTGGTCATCTGATTAGTTTGTATTGGACTATGCGACATGTATTGGAAATGTATTGTTTGGCAGCTGAGGCAGCTGCAGAACTTGCCCCAGGCAATGTGTGCGTTTCACAATGGATGACATTTACAAAAGCGCTTAAGGAGCACTTAACCCAGACATAGTTAAACCAACATAAACATACGAGCAACCAAGCACCTGGGAGGCCAATAGGCGACTGGGCACAGGAGAGTGTGGGCCACAAGGTGGCAGGGGACAACAGGTGAGCAAAGTTTGAAAAGCATAGCTAAGCGGTGAAGGTGGACACAGTCAAGTGGGTAACGCTTCCGACCAAACCTCGACCCAGTTCCAGTTTACAGTATCAGATTGCCAACCCTATTGCCCTGACCACAATTCATCTTCGTAATGGAACCTAATGGCAACAACAAACACGTTTCATGCGAATGTAAAAGGACTCACCTGAAAGAACTCAACAAGCTCACGTGGATGCCAAAGAAGCTTTATGCTAATTAATAAAATATGGTATAATAATACCCATAAAATGTTGACATCGATTAGACGACAACGGATACCCTTAAATAAAGGCATTTTAATTTAAATTTATTATACTCATTGCACATTAAGATGTTTCTCAACGGAAATGCTGTGCCTTTCTAAAATCCAGTATTTATGTTTTTAATTTCAGTATATGGTAAAAAAATGTAAATATTTCTAATTCTAATAATATTTTTTGTCAATTCTATTATTATTAAACATTAGTATTTTATAACTTCTTATTTGCAATTATTAAGATATTTGATATCTATTTATTGTTTATCATTATTATAATTATATATATTATTTTCATGTCTTTCTTAAACAAGAGCAACTTTGTAGTTTTCAATCACAATGATTATCTAATTGCAATTCAATCAATGAATTTAATGAACAGAGGCAATGCGATAGTATAAAAGTGTATAATTTTATTATACTTTGTAGCAGAAGAAGAACAATTATTAATAGGATTATTTTCTTTTTTATTAACCCTTGCAGATATTATAATTATATGATGATGAGGCATCTGTTTCCATGCGAACCAGTCCCTTAGTCTTAAAGATGTCTTAATGGTACTTTGAACATATCCATTTTATTGCTGCAAACCGGTTGGATCGGTTTACTATCTCTTTGTCTCTCTCTCTTCGGCTTGCCAAGTTAGTCGTTATCTCCTGATTAATAATAAATATGTAACATTAAATTAAATTAAATTTTAAAAAAAATGTAACATTTCCTGGTTTTATTCAATCCATGCCGAGCTCCTTTAGTAAATCGGCTGGTGTTGTATCTGGGCAATCGTTCCATTTTTCCGGATCTGGCGCATAGTTAACTGGCCTGCCGAATGTCATGCTTATTGTGCCGGGCGTATTTTTCCAAGTGGGCTCTGCCTCATGCGATTCCTGGACCTGCAGCCACTCCGCATTGTACTCGCGTCGCCTGGGACCCCAGCTGATTAGCTCTCTACTCAAGGTCGGCATGTGGCTGAAGCGTAGCTGCACTGTTCCAAACATTGGCTTCATCTTGCACTGCCTGAGTAGCTGATGTAAGAAATCGTCACATTCTTCGAGCAGGGGGCAGTCATTCAACTCGAGCAAGTGCAGCTGGTCTGCTTCCTCCAAATAGCAGAACAGCTGGTTCAGGGAGCAGCCAGTCAAACAAAAGCGCTTACAACTCAGGGGCAGCACCGGTCGCCTCGTTCGCACATTCAACTTGCAGTTGCTCAGCAGCAGCTCCTCCATTGCTGTACAAAAGCGCAGATCCAACAGCGAAAAATCAAACGGAGCACTTAGCCAGGTGCCATCGAAGCGCAGGGCGAGCAGCTCACTGCGTTTGGCATTGATGATCTCCTTGGCAATCGGTAGCCAGTCCATGCGGGGCCAGAGCTGCTTGCGCTGCAGCGACAAATGCTCCAGATGCTCCAGGTGGCACAAGGTCTGCGCCGAGCGCAGCATCAGCGGCACCTGCAGCTCCCTCAGCTGAGAGCACCGCCACATCTCCGAGAAGTCCAGCACTGTGAGCGGCATCTCCTCGTTTCGCACGAGCAATTGCCGCAGCTGGGGGCAATTCTGGCACACCTGATCCAGCACCTCCTGCGTAATGCTCTTGCGGAGCAGCAGTGCGCGCAGTTGGCGCAAGTTGACTGGAAACGGTGCCGCAACCGGTGCGTTCATATGCAGCACCAGCAGGCCGGGAAGCAGGTTTCCCAGCAGCCGCAAATGGATGTTGGAATTGCTGCCGCTTGGCATTGGAATTGCATGGCCCACCAGGCAGGTGTTCACTAAGGCCAGCCCAGAGACGCCTCCCTCCCGACACAGTCTATCCATGCGGATTACATCAGCGATCTCCAGTTGCAGGCGGGTCAGATTACCCGCCAGCATTGGCATCAATCTCTCCAGCTGATCCACGTTTAGACACATGATAGTCGATGTGATGTCCGTTGTCTCCAACTGCGCGATTAGCTTCTTGGAGATGTCCATGCGACTTTCACCATATTCCAGAAAGAGGAGCAAAGTACTATGAATCTCACTTGGTGTTGCATTTCCCTGAGCAGCCGCAGAAGACTGGAGGGCAGATGTTGCTCTCTCTATTGATTTTGGGAGTTTATTAGACTGACAATATACACAAGACACAGTCCCAACTTAGGCGCACTTACTCGACATTATGAGCAAGATGTCAATTGTAAATTTCAGATGAGAAAATTTCTATTTCTATCGCTGTCCCGAATTTGCTCAATTCGTAGTTTGCCAATCGAAAGCGCTGTGAATTCAGCAAACTTATGCGATAACTTTAATCGCTTATCGATTGATCGATTATTGAAGTATCACCCGACGCGAATACATTTTGAAATTGAAAATATTTAATTAAATCGAAAGTGCTGACTCAAAGTATGTCCTTTCTTTCATATGCCTATATATTTGTTAATATGTATTTATAGAAGTCAGCTTTACTTAGCTTCAGCTCCAATTAAAATAAGAAGTAAGGTTTATCTTAGGCACGCCGAAGATTACATACCCTTTTTGACAGGAGTTAAGCTGCTGATATATAAATTTTTAGTTGAAATTTAATTAATTCTTCGCTATTTTTCTCTCTCGATTTATTAATGAAATTTTTGCTGTACACAAATATTTTTCAATTGTTTTTGCGTTTGAAACAAGTATTTTTGTATAGGTAACTATTTCAGAACAGACTGTTTAGTAAATATTATAGTTATATTGTATCAGAATGGATGACATATATGTCTACGTCTAGCCGGATCCCACAGATTATGACTCAACAGTCATCTGATATAGTGAACCGATAATGTTGATGTTATTTCGTTTTTTTTTTGTTTTTTTTTTTTTTAACAGTATGAGGAAAATTACACGCATATCTTGTGAGTTTGGTCAGGATAACTTCAATGCCAATAAGAAGTTGCAACAAGATTGATTAGAGAATTATGTGCACTGTTATTAATATTATTGCAAGTTTGAGCACAAAACTAGAATACCCTCTACAAGAGTATAAAAACACAAGAACAACAAATCATTAATGGGAATGTTTGAAGGAAGTTGAACTCGTTTCGCTAAATGACAGCTGAAAATGAGGTAAAAATCTAATTAAAACCGCTGACTCCCCCAACCGCCCAACATTCACGTGGAAATCACAATTGTCAGCATTAAATTCACGCTCACCTGCACAGTCGAATAGACAACAAATATACACACACACACACAGACACACACACAGACACAACTACACCTACACTAAGGCACAGCCAGAAATAAACGCAATTTCCCACCCAGAGGCAATAATACGAAAACAAACAAACAAAAACAACAAGAACAGTCAAAGCAAACAGGTGAAACAGACGTTACCTGTCGAACGGCAGAAAAACTAGCTAAATGGAAAACTTTCAAAGGTGCCCCGCATCCCTTTCGCAGCATCGCCTCCAACTGGACCAACCAAAGAGCTTGCCTCGCTTGCTGGGCAGCAAATGAAACGCGCTGTTGCACACAAAAATAACAAGTAGCATTGGTCAATTCATCGAATGTCGGTCACGGCTGCCTCTTGGGCAACGGCTAACGCTATCTATGCATGGGTGTGAGAGTGCGTGTGACTGATCCACCCGGTGGTGTTGGTGGGGTTATCTGGTTAGCTGGTTACCACTGCCCAAAGTTGTCATTTCACCAATGCGCTTGCCCAGGACACATGGAAAACGCTGTGGAAAAATCGCTCAGACAACGCAAAGGGTGTGTTTCGATGCGGTGTGGATTGAGCTCACTTTGTTTTCAATCCGGTTGAAATTAGTTTAGTTTTTAGCTCAAATCCCAAATCCCCGGCTAGCCCTTTTCGCTGACAACTTTTATTGAACTGGCGCCGTGCATATCAATGGGTTATCAAAATAAAATGCATATAAAAAAACACTCACAAATAGAAAACTTAAAAGAAAAAAATAGAGCTGCAGTTTTTGAAAAGTAGCAATATAATGTATTTAGAGTAGTAGATAAGAAATGTTTGTTTCACATTTTTAACATTTAATGCATGCTGTTTGGCTTGACCACACTTTCATTAGTTTTAACGAGCTGTATGTGTGAATATTGTCGATTTATTTAATCTTCTTCGCAATTTAATAATATGTTTGAATATGCATTTAGTTGAGCGTTTTTCCCTCTCTCCAATTATTATTGCTCTGTTGACTGTTATGTTAGAATATAGCAGCTGTGGGCGGTTATGTGTTCAGAAATGAAAAAAGAACACTTTGGAATTTCAATATTAATTTCTAAATTTTTGAAAAGGAATTAAGAAAAGAAACCCGTATCTTTTTTTAGAAAACCCCAACCTTTAAGACATATAAACTTTTTAAATAATAAAGTAAGTTTCACTTAAAATTATTTTTTTATGTTTCACGTCCTGCAGAAAATTGTAAATTGTTGCTGCAAATATTCAATGTATTTAGGTCTACTTTTGGTAGAGTTTTCAGTGTATTTGTTTATATTTATAGAATGGTGAATGCGATATTTAAACATGCCTATCAAACTGAAGCGCTGCACACGATAAATCTTCGTCATGGGCCCAAATTGACATTTTACAACCAAGCCCAATGGAGGACAAAGTAACTTGCAGCAGTTGCCAACGCAGGCAACTGACAATCGCGCTTTAGCCAACTGCTGTTGTTGTTCGCTTCGCTTTTTTTTTAGTAGTTTTTGTTGTTGTTGTTGGTGCAATTTCTGTCGCTGATATTGTTGTCAACAATGATGGCCCAAAGCATCAGCCACATACGTTGTGGCAACAACTCATCCATCGTTTGACAGCCCCTTACCGCTCCTCGCCTTACACACACACACACACACACACGCACACACTTGACGTGTGCACATTGAAGCTGTCAATCCCAGGACATACTGTATACAGGACACTGGAGCAAGCTTGGCTCTCCGCCATATTTTATTGGCACAACTCCACGCCCACCAGCTAAGCAAAAAATTTAATATCTCACAGCATGTGCGAGTGTGTCTCAGTGTGTGTGTGTGTGTGTGTGTGAGTGTGTGAGTGTGTGTGTGTGTGTGCAACTGAGTGTGAGTATGACACTAATAGAGTTATGCTGCTGCCGTTGACGATAGGAACGCATCGCATTATCCTCTGTTCTGGTTGCGCACTAGCATCAACATAATTGGAGACATTCAGCAAACTGCTGCAGGCTGACGCCTCATACCCTTTTCCACGCCCCCCGAGCTATTCTTTTTGGAGGATAATCCGTCAGCCAGTCAAACGACACATGGCAATGCGATGAACATTTAAGGACCATAATGCAAAAATGCATTACTCGCGAATTGTTAGGGGGAAAAAACAAAGTTGTTTTTTTGATATTTTTTGAATTTATGATGATTGCTGACATTATATAATATGCAGGGAATAACTTAATTTTCAAGCAAAGAACGAGTTACTGAATGCCTTTATATTGTCTATAAAAATTGATATATAAACAAATAAAACTACAACGTAAAACGTAAGATTTGATTCTTAATATTAAGTTTAAACCGAGAATTCGAGTACAAAAAGTGTCAACAGATATTTTAAATATATTTTCTATTATAATTTTATCATATATCTAAGTAACCTGTGGTAAATTAACCCTTGAATAATTTTCAAAATAGGTAACAATTTATTATAAGTCGTCCAATGCTTGCATACAAATTTGGAACTTTTGAAATTTACTTTATTGAAGCATGCACATTACTAAGGTGTTGCACATTTTAATGGTGTTAGTAACTTTATCGGTAATATCACAAAAATCGTCCCATTGCAAAATTCAAATTTAATTTTGTTTTGTTTCTTAGGATACTCTAACTGCATCTAACTTTCAAACTGATTTCTTGCGACGGGTAAATAATCATCGGCGTAAGTTTGGCTGCCCCGATCTTCGACTAAGTAATCGTCTTTGCAAATCAGCTGGAGAATATGCAAAAGTAATTCATTTTGATTTTTATACTTTTTTTATTAATGCTGTAAGATAAACTTTTAGTTCCTCAGCACAAATCGGGATGAGGATGTGCCTGATGGTTCAAGTGTATGCCTTACCTACGACGATCCACTATCCTGTGTTGACAATTGGTTCGATGAAATAAAATACTACAACTTTGAGAATGGTGCGTATGTATATGAGGCCGAAGACTTTACGCAAATGATATGGAAATCTAGTGTATGGTTTGGCGTTGGAAAATTTATTAGGTAAACTTAATTGAAGCATAATTAATACAAAAAGTGTGTCAAACAATCGATTTTAGTGAAACTGATGGAGAGATCACCGTTGTAGCAAAATATTTTCCTGTTGGCAATCTAAGAGGAACTTTTGTCAATAATGTTCCGAATATATACAAAAAGTCTGTAAATTAATCCTAAATCGATATAAATTAAAATTAATCCGAATTAATTTTTGCAGCCTTTCCAGCTCAAATCTTAAACCAATCAGTTGCTTTTCATGGATATTTTCAACTATTGTTCTAAAATTGGGGGTTTTTAAATTATTCTGCTTATTTGAATAAAACCATAAAAATAAAACTATAAAGTATATGACAATATATATCAAAGTAGCCCTAGAAAAATTATGCCTTTACTCTAATGTGTGAAAATCAGTTTGGATCAAAATACCTTTCTGAAAATTCGATAACCATATTAATTTAAATTTTAAATATTTTAAATATGTCCGTGAATACTAAATTTGCCTTAGGGCTTTCGATATGCTGGATTTTATTTTTCGTAAGTAGATTTACTATTCGCTGTTCTTTAATTGTTTATGTTGCATGTAATATTCAATAGTGCATTCCTGCTGAAACCCCTTTTGAAATTGCTGCTTTAGGGCAACATAATATGTATCGTGATAAGCACAATTGTCCCCCACTTCTTCTGGACGATGCACTAACCCAGGATTCCAGGGTATATGCTGAAGTAAGTAAATTAGTTGCGTATTGGACATATAAGGTAGTTTGGAAAATGAATCTTTAGGAACTGGCCCAAAAGGAACAGCTGGAACACTCATCAGGAGATTATGGTGAAAATCTGTGCATGACTTCAGGGGATCCACTAAAATGTGTTCGGATGTGGTATGACGAAATTAAGGATTACAACTTTGACGAAGGAAAATTTTCGCTTGAGACCGGGCATTTTACACAATTGATTTGGATGTCTAGCAAATGGTTAGGCATCGGAAAAGCCAAGAGGTATACATATATAAGGAATACCTGATAATGTAAAAGTTAAACATACGAGTCCTATTTAGTAAATCTGGTGCCATGTATGTGGTCGGAAGATATTCCCCGGCTGGCAATGTTGAAGGCCAGTTTATAGAGAATGTCCCGAAGCTAAAGAAGTAAGTTCTGCATAAAGCATTGAAGGACTTAATTTAATTACATTTTCTTGCAGCTCTTCAACTTCATATAGCAAGTCATTCAGTTCCAAATATTTTATATTATTTTCCTGGACATTTTCAGCATTGTTGCTCTGGATACTGAAATTTTAAGAAAATTTAGAGTGGGTTCAATTTTGAAATGTGTCTTTAATTCGTGAGTTAAATATTCCCCTAATCTTATCTTCCAATTCAAATTGAAGAAGAATAATACTACAAATTATCAAATATAATATTTTAGAATTACAAAATATTAATTCAATCATTTTGCGTACAAATTAATTATCAGATTCTCGACATGAAAGTGTTTTCAGCATAGAAATACCTCATTTAATCTGCATCAACTACTACTTCTCACTTAGAGCTCAGCTAAGCGTCAAGACTTAATGTAAATGTAGTAGACAAATGGTAAGGGTAAGCAAAAAATGGCCTGTAGAAACCCCAGTTTGCAGTAAATTGTCATTAACGTCAGTATTTGACTACAAACTCGATAGTAAAAATCACAACTGGAAGCTAATGTGATATCTTTTTGTGTTCCCCATTGGGTTTGCTTTTTTTCTTATATTTTTTTGTTTGCTTTTTTTTTTGTTATTTTTTTTTTTTTTTGTGGTTGTTGGGTGTGTGTAAATGCCAGAACATCTCACATGTGGGTGTCTATCTAAATGTGCTGCTAATGATGATAGCCAGCAAAACGCAAACGGGACAGCACACATTGCCATTTTAGGTGAGGAAGGGGTGTTGAGTGGGGAGAAAAAAATGTAAGAAAAAATGGTATTAGAAATTCAAATAAGCTTGACACGCAGCCCTGTGGGGTTGCTGTTGGCGCTCTTTTGGGTTAATTTGAAAACGTGCGATAAGAAAATTCAATTTTTTCTTCAGCTCCTTGCTAGTGAATGTGTCCTGTCAAAGTATTGTATTACGTACAGATGTGTGTGTATTTTTGTGTATATGTTTATTTAGAAGTAGTTCTCCAGCACTGGTTTCAGCGTGCCTTTACTTTTTGGCAATCAGCATCAGGCAAACAACAAATTCCCCATTGGACGGCGAACCCGCCTGGGCCCAGAACCCTTAGCTCTCAATGATGTTGTTGATGTAATTTCGCATTTTTTATCCCAAGTGCTATTTACTGCAAAGAGACAGCAACCAAACAGAAGTCAAAAGACAAAATAAATACAACAAAGCAGCGCTCTTCTTCTCCAGACCAGGAGGCGAGGCAGCATCTGCTGCCAGCAGCGCATTAAATCCTTAAGCACACATTATTATTCAATCAGATATGAAGTTGAATTTTTTTCCGTTCTGCTTTTTCGTAAAATATTTTTTTGGCTTTTTTTTTTTTGCTGTGTTTTTCCATTTTTTCGACATTTTCACGCGTTAACATTTGGAGTGCAATGTTGCATATACAAACATATGTGTATTTCTATATACAAGTGTACATATATACAAATGAGTGTACAGGATTTTTGTGTCAGTATCTTGCCTAATGACATTCAAATTGTTTTTGTCCCTTAGCCCTTAGCGATTCGAGCACGTGAAATAAAGGTTGCCACAGCATTTGCTGTAGGTAAATTTAAATTAACAGATAAGAGTAACTGTATATATATATATATATATGGATTGAAATGGAAATTTTGGAAAGAAAAGGATTTCAAATAATAATTCGAATGCAACAAGAATTGCTTAGATCAATTCTAGTATAATAATATCAAATATTAATCCTTGCCTATCAACTACTTTACATATTAATTGATTTGACAACTTTTAACTTTATTTTCTTGCAGCTTGTCGCACACGCAATGTGCAATGTGTTTATTTAAATTTTTGTGAGGTTCCGGTTATGAATAGTAGACCACACTCAATAATGTTAGCGCAAGTGCTGCATTAAATGACAGTCTTATCCCCGTTCCCATCACTTCGTCGCCTGCTCATCATCAGCGTCATCATCAGTTCATCTTGACTGGGTGATAGCAGTGCGCCAGCTCGTCAACTATTTATAAGTTCAACTTGGTCGTAAAATTTATGTGCATCGTAAAGGCGCCAAATCAAGGCGAAAACTGACAAAATGTTATGAAATCAAATTTGCACACAAAGCGTCCCTAATGATGTGGCAGGCGACAAGCGAAAAGCGAACAACATAACCATGCGAAAAAGTATACCTAACCACCCCCCTACCCCCCTCCTGCAACTCCTTAAAGCGTCCAACGACAACTGGGTGGCTATAATGTTCCGTCTGTGGCTTGAAAATGGTTTAATTACGCGCGCACTTGACTACGAGCAACGCAGGCGCCGCTCAGCGCTTAAATAAAAACTGCACTGACCTAATTGAGTAATAATTAAAATTAAGTGCATGCTAAATTATTATTAATTATGAAAATATACAGAGCAAGTGACCACAGTCAACTGCATTGCCTCGCCCACGGACCAAGTGCGACAGTTTGTTGCAAGTGCTGCAAATTCACACAAGTAACGCCGTTCACACAAATTAGCAATTTAAACGCAGTAACCAACGAGGAGTACCTAAAAAGTTAATAAAACGAAAAAAAAGAAAAAAAATGTAATTTAAAATCAGAAACATTAAATATTATTATTGAGGGGATTTATTCCAGCAGGCTGGAATTTGGTTTGATTTAAGATTTCATGTTTCTTATCTGTTGAACTTGTGGCATGTTTCCAGAGAATAGTTGATCTTCTTCAAACCATTAGCAGATAAATAAAGATAATATTTACCACTGGAGACAGTAAACGCTTTGATTTCGATGGTGATCTTAATCAGTTAATATTTAATATTTCTTAAATTACAATCAAACTTGTTAATTGCTTCGATTTCAATATCTGGAAGTTTGTATGATTTAAATTATTTTAACTATATATTAACTACGTCAAGTTAGGCACTTGGCTCAAAATTTATGCACTACAATCGAACTAATTTGTAAAGAAATTGAGCATAAATACTGAGTATATGCCATGTGTGCACAACTAATAGCAGGCAGCAGCAATATACACACAACACAACACAACACAGACAGACAGACAGACAGACAGAGAGACAGATATATCAGTAGATATACAGACATATTTCAATATAAATTATTGTCAGTTGGAGTGCATAAAATGTCGCATAACATTGCCAGTTGCCAGCGAAAAGAACAAAAACGCAAAACACGTTATTCATCGTTAAAGCAAACTACAAACAGAGTGTGCGGAAAAGGGGGGTCAACAACAAGTGCAACAGCAACAGCAGCAGCAGCAACAACGACGACAGACGTGACTGCTGCTGTAGATGAATGCACGGGGCGTATGCGCAATGCGATATGCAACAAATTGCTAAACAAATCAAATTTATTGCTAGAGTTGCGCACGCGAAAGTCATAGCAACAATGAGAAACTACATACACATGTATAAGAGCAACAACAATGACAATAACAACAACAACAACAGCAACAGCAACAACAACAACAACAACAATGACGCAACACGCATGTAGAACGTCACTGAGATAGCACAAATTAATATGAACGGATATTTTTTCAGGCCTCGGGACTTTTGGCTGTGCTCTTTTGTCATTGTTGTTGTTGTTGCTGTTGTTGTTATTATTGTTATTGTTATTGTTGTTGTTATAGTTGTAGTTGTTGCTGCCGCTATCAGAGTTTGTATAACTTCATTTGGTTTGCTTGTTTGTTTGTCTGTTTGCCGACACTGTTGTGGGCCCAGGGCCCACTTACTTTTTGTTAAACCGTGTACACACACACATACGCACACACACACAGACCTACACACACACACACAGAGCATAAGGGGGGCAGAGGCTGCGGCCCAGCGATGTCCGCACAGGCTGCATAACAACATGGCGCTCGGTCAAAGCGGAAGTCCGAGTTGTTCTGCGTTAAATTTATGCCAAAATGCGCTGCTGCCCCGTCACAATGGGCAGCTGCACTAATTGCGTGACTCAAACAATAATACTAAAAAATTATTTAAATGTGACTAGCATTACAATTAATTAATATTGATGAAAACTAAAACTTTTCTCTTGGTGCTTGTACATTTGATGAGCATTTATTTACTCATCGCTTAATGCCCACTGTTCTCGTTAAATTGTTGTAGCTGCTGCTGCGGCAGTTGTTGATTTTTATTTTCGCAATTAGGAAGTTGTTTTTATTATTTTTTACAGTTATACAAACTAAACACGCACACACAACAAACAACGAGCTATGGCAATAGTCACGCCCAGCGGCCAGCCCAACGCCCACTGAGACACAGCCACATTGCCACACAGACACTTATTCATCAGCCGGAAGTTTGCTTGCCACTCCCATTGTTGTTGCTGCTTTTGCTGCTGTTAGTTGTTCTTGGATGTTTGCCGCTCATGCAAATTGCGCAACTAACAAAAAGAAATAAGTAACAAACACACCAGTCGTGGGTGCACAATTTGCAAATACCTTATTTTGCGTACGATGATGAACTTTAGATGTATTTTGGTATCACAAAACTATGCTGAGATAAGCCGATTAATAAGAATTATACCACAGGAAGTGTACCTCTGTAGGTATCCAAAATTTTAAGACGTTTTTACATCGAAATATGTTGATTGCAAAAATTGAGAAATAGCATGAAAGGCTTCCAGATAATGTTAGGTTCGAGTTAAGAATTGATACTTATAATAATATTATAATAAATTTCAGATATCTCTAATATACCCAATTGTAATAAAAGGCATAGGGTACTAAAACCTAAGAAGAGTAAGGGGAACAGACCCGGGATACAAGAATAAAAGTAGAGTGAAAAGTTCTATATATATTTTTTGAATTTATATTTAACTGTATTACATGGTGCACCCGCAACAGTAACTATACCACCCTCCCACTCACCCACCGACAACCCATCCATTGCGCTCCCTCTTAACATTTCTTGTAGTTGCTTGCTGGCTACAGAATCGGAAGTTATAGTTATGCCGCTTGCGCGAGCGCACTCTGAATTATTTTGCCAGCAATAGCAAAAACAATTGCAAGAACAAACAGAAACACAAAAACAACAAAAGTTGATTTAAAAGTTTTGCGGTTAAGCTTGTTACTTGGCAGCTACTTTTTGTGCGTGAAAATTCATTTTCCTCTCTGCTTGAGTTTTCGCAAAATATTTAAGCTGCAGTTTTGGTTAAGAAGCAGGGGCCCATAAACATCTTTGGAGCTAGAGATGGAGACGAAGTTGCACGTGTCACCCT